GTTGCCAAGAGGGTCTCACATTGTGGAAGGTCAGCTTTTTGGCTTCCAGCTGTTTCTTGCTGCAATTACCCATGTACAAAATGAGGGAGTCGTTGCATCTGGTCTTATATAGGTGTTTAGTGCTTTTAAATAGTTCGTCCCTCTCAGCTTGCTGAGTGTGATTTATTTGAGGCAATTCATCTAGATTTTAAAGCAGAAGGTAGGAGAATGGAAATCTGCTCTTTGAAACCACAGTTGGAATTTTAAGAACATGCGTATCCAACACTTCCTTCCAAAATACTGCACTTCAGTTCTCCCTTAGGTTTTTCATATGCATTTGGGTACAGTTCACATTGAATAACTTTAGCTGGCTAAAAGGCAGCAATCTAATGAAAGCTATTCCACTTAGTTTGGGCTGTGGCAGGAGATAAAAAAAATATTATTTCTCAGGCATCCTATCCATCTTTAACTCTTATACTAGGAGCAATTTCATGATGAGTGTCTATTTTCATTGCCAAGAGCGGAAATTTATACTTAGGTAGATGCTTGACTTTAGACTAAAGGTGATTAGGTGAGAAAATCTTATTCTGCAAAACATATGCACATAATTTAATTATAAACTGTCCAAGTTAATGAGCCTTAATCTTAAATATAGCTTTCTGACTGATTATAGTATTTATCATAATAAAAATTATAAAGTGACTGCAGAATTAAACTGAGACAAAATACTATTAATACTACTTATTCCAAAATTTGCCTGAGAAAAAAATTTCTTTGCTCCTTCCAGACACATTGGTACATGTTCGCTGCTGCTTTAAATGAATCAGAGCCCTGAAATAAAAGAAAACAAAAACCACACTCCAACTTACAAATATCTCTCAAAATGTTTGCATTTGCATGGATTATGAGAGCTAGGCACAAGAAAGATTTGTTTCAAATATTTCCAGTCATTTTTTTCAAAGTATAGTCTTCAATCCACAAAATTTTTTTATTTTTTCTGCTTTGTGGACATATAAGACAAAGGGATTTGAAAGCAATTTTTCATTGAAAATTTCACAATGGATATGCATGAACCAGAATTTGCTTTATTTCAAGTTTCACAGCCCAAATGGTTCTGTAATTTGCATCATTTACAATTTTGCTATAAACAGACTTGGGCATCTGTCTACATTATAGCCAAACCAGGCAAAAGATAAGTATGAAAAATTGAAAACTTCTAACATAATTCATTTCCACCAAATAGCAATATCTCTGGCTCTTATAACAATTATTTTATCAATTTAATGTTGATTGTGGCTTTCCCATTGAGGAATAGGAAAGCTTGCAAAACAGCAATGAAAAAGAATCTGGCACGGTTGCTACTAGAGGTCATACATATATTTACTTTTCTTTAAGATATTTTCAGACATGTTAAGCAAAAATTTGGCTTTGCTACATAATTCTCCTTTGACAAATTTTATTTCACTCTGCTGTGACTAATTTTATCCTCTGGAGGCATAAATTTGAGCTTTGAAAAATCTATTTCTGTCAAGCTTTTAATTCAAGTGATAACAGATGCTAAAGATAGACTAAGAAAAAAAAGATTAATCTCTCAAGAGTGTTGAGAAAGTGATCAACATAGTTTCTAAATAAGTTAATAAACACATTTTCAAATTTCTTCATAAGAAAACAGCTTCAAGAGCTCAGTGAAGTAGTAAGTTAGGAGGAATCCATTGATGAAGAGGTGGGAAGTTAAGTAATAAACCGTTGAAATTAAACTGATATCTTTGAAGGGATTTTTTAAAATGCTTGACCTGCATAAACTACAAATTTAGCTACAGAGAGGTTATGTTTTTTTCTAATAATCTATTTATCTATTTTACATTTCATCCTATAGTATAGTTTATTTGCATTGATTAATTTGGTGTTGCATATATCAAATAAACAGGGCATCAAGCATCTCATTTCAATAATAGAAATTACAAATATGATTTGGCTGTAAGATAATTAATGAAATCAATGAATCTGCTTAGAAATAATTCAGCATGACTATTCCAGAATAGCATAGTTGCATTATTTTAACTTCAATCTTTAAAAAACCTGGCACCACCATAAGGAAACTCATTCTATCTTAGATTTATTTCACTTTCAGATAAAGACAGATACATTTTTTTAATGTCTTCAGATAAAGAGATAATGTTCTGCTTACTTGTTTTTAAGTACAATATTGAATTTCCTTTAATGTAAGTATCCTCACTTTTATGTTCCCCTTTTAGTTAGGAGATACACACCTTCAAAGAGAAATCCCAATTTACTCTAGATCATCCCCCACTACCTCTTGTACCTCTTTTAAACGACCATACGGGAAACTTATAGAAAGTCTCACCTTACCTTTGGTCCTTTCCTTGGGTAGCTGAGATAGATGTCCACTTTAACACAAGGTACATTTTAGCTTTTTTAGCTTTAATCTTAAATTTTTTACAAAAGTATGCATATCCACATAGAAAAATCTACTATGAATCAATACATAGAGAGTAAAAGTGTGTGGAGGTAAATATATATCACTGCATATAGATAACGTATTTATATATAGTGTATAGTCTGTATTTGTGATGTATAGATACTATATATATTCTCTATATATTCTCTCATTTGAGTACTATATATGTACACACTCTCTAAATATATACTCTTTTGGTATACAAAATATAATTATGTCTATCCATGTATATCTATGACTGTGTATTTTATATATATATATCAGTGAAAAGAGAAACCAACATAAATATTTGAGAAAAATCAAAATATTTAATTAAAACAACAATAAAAAAGCTTATCCTGAAGATCACTAAGTTGTCTTCCTACTGTTGCTATTGTACTGGCACAATAATATAAAGGTAGAGGACTGATGTCTCAGTTCCTCTTTTTTGCAGTTCTAAGATTAAAATGGAAGAAGGAAGAGCAGCCTCCCACTTCTTGCCTGATTCTAGGAATATAGATCTGAAACAGCTGACATGCTGATTTCTCCAGAACAACAAAAACAACCAGTCCATGGAACTAATTACTAATGAATTTGAAATCCTTGAAGGAATACGTTCTTCCAAGAAACATATGCACCTTCCTCTTCACAGACCATCTGCATTTCTACAAAATATTTGCTGTTTTGAAGCCTTTTTTCTTCAAGAGATGTTGAGATCTGTTGCTGGTACAAAGCTGATTCCCCAGCTGCTCACTGGGGAGCTGTCTCTGGCCTCAGTGGACCTGCCTGCTGTGCCAGTGAGATTGATCACTTTTGTTAGTTATCAAGTGAATGATCAAACAAGATCCACATGCTGGGAATCACTTGGTAGCAACCAGTAGTTCAAGGCATGGGTTGGAAGCAGTACCTGCCCTGGGCAAATGTGTCACCTGGCTCAGCTTAAATTTGCTTCAGTTTCTTCTATGTTAGCAGAAGATGTGCTTGGGCTCTGGGTGTGTTTTTTGTTTTTGGTTTTTTTTTTTTTTTTG